AAACAGATTTTAGAGAGCAACAATTAATTATCTCTATGACCCTATCTAACTAACCATCGTCCCTTGCAGCCCAGCTCATTCCTCATTTTCTATCATGGCCATGCAGAGGGACAGTTGTGGCCAGTAATTGTGCCAAACATACCTTACCAGTGGCGAGTCTGCCAGCTCTTGGACTTGAGGTGTGTGCAGCCACTGTCTCCACCCGGTAGGAACTTGGGGTTCCAGCAGCCATGGCTCTCGAGCGTACCCAGAGTGATCTGCATGAGGGGCACACCCAGGATGATCTGCATGGGGGGCATACGCAGAGTCATCCGCATGCTTGGTGTGATCTGCATGAGGGGGATACTCGGAGTGATCTGCATGAGGGGGATACTCGGAGCGAGCTGGAGGAGAATTCCCGAGATTCGAACCACCGTCTGCGTGATTCCAACTGTAGTTCGTACAGTCTACGTGACGCCGTTTGCGCATGTCGGCAGACTTGTTCCCTCCTTTATGCGGACGCTTGAGTTTGCCGAACGTGGTCACTCGTTTGAGGTCGTCGAGCGACAGGACCTGCAAGCAGGACAGCGCCTCGGCCGTGGCTTTCAGCCGATCAGCCAGCGACCTTTGGACTGACTCTGAAGAAGAGCTTTGCGGGGACAAGTTCTGTGGTGGATCCAGTAGAGTCATGCGTAAGTGGGTGTAGCAGAAGCTGACGAGATCGTCGAAGGGCATGTCGCAGTACTGTAAAAAACAACCGCTCACCCAGTCTAGAAGGCTCGGTGACTGGAAGGGGAGGTCCGCTATTTGGGCGATGGAACAGGTAAGGGGGGCGCCGACTATGCCGAAGGGGGCGAAGAAACATCGGTGGAACTCTGCAGCCAGCCTGAGGTAGCCCTCCTTACACGATTTGAAATGTAAGGGCTTGATGGTCCGCAGTTTGGCCCAATTATCTCTTCCGAGGAGGTGGTGCAAGGCGTAGTACGCCTGGTAGTCGTTTGGGAAGTATCCCACCGACCGAGCGATTGGCTTCATCGCACCCAGCTCTGGAATATACAAAGGGCGATCCGAACCGGGTTTCCTTAAATCAGTCATCATCGTCCAGCTTGCCGTTTCCAACGACGTTCCAGCAGCATCGGTTCCGACCGGTGTCGTGTCGTCGAGACCGGCACGGGGCGCGTCTCGGATCCAGCAGGCTCGTCTCCGATGAGGAACGGGTTCGACGAAGGCGTTAAGGCGTGCGTGTTCTTCGGGAGTTAGTAATTCCCAATAGCGACGGACCCAAACCCGTTCTTGTTCGATAGGTGAAGTGGAAGGGGTTATTCGTCTAAGCATTTCGTCCAGGTCTGCTTGGTGTAGAGAGCCGTATGCAGCTGCAGAGACAGTGGGTAGATCGGCCAGTCGTCGTTTCCAAACTTTTAATCTTGTTTCATCGCTTGACTCTAAGCGTAAGGCATATTCGGAGAACCTCACAGGCCCTGAACGTAGACACTCAAGTTCTCGGGAACAGAGCGCCGCTTGGACTTGAGCCTCCTTATCTCGCAGTCCACGACGCCGGTGATCACGAATAGAGGTTTTACTGGTGTAAGGATTGAACTTTAAAACTCGAGCGCAAAATTCTGCCAAGTCCGTCACCGAGACACCAGCATACTGTAATAAACAACCTGCCAGCCATCTCCGGATCCGACGACTGGTTCCCTGTCCCAATTCCTTCTCCACCTCCATCCGCACTTCAGGATCAACCGTACCACACGGTTCATCTATACATGCACACAGTACTGCACCAACTTCGACATACCCTAACTCACACGCACTGAAGGAAGCCCGATCCACGCGTCGCAGCCTCTCCCACTCATCCTCTGACAGGACGCTCCGCACCTTGCAGTATGCAGCGTATGCATCCGCGTTGTCCGACTTGGCCATCTCACGTGGGTCGTTTCTAGCCCACTCGTTCCTGGCGAAACGACTACCAAAGGCAGTCAGATTCGGAAGCGTCGGAATATACAGTGGTGTGCTGCCTCCTTCGTCGTCGTCTATTAATGTCCATCGCGAAGAATCGAACCGCGATCTTCTTGCCCATGTTCGCCATCGACGACCATGCCTCCACGGCTCCAATGATATCTTCTCCTTTACCACTGCAAATTGCTCCGCACTCAGCGGCAACCAATACTTCTCCACCCACTCTACCTCACTCACCCGACCCACAAACGCTCCAGCCATATCTAACAAGACACATCCCACTCCTCGCCGCCTGCCACTCACCACTACCAACATTACGCTAAATTATAATTCCCACTCAACTCTGAGTCCGGGTCGCAGATGATGACACCTGTTGATTGCATGCAAAGCGATGTGGTTTACGATTATGTTTCAGCTCATGTAAAATGGAAGGGGGGCGCCGCCTATACCGAAAGTAAGTACTGATAAAACTATGCAGCCACCCTGAGGTAGCCCCCCGCTTGAAGTTTGAAGTGGACGATGACCTAGCAAGTTGTACAGTGCGTGATATCCGTCGCGTGTTGACGCGTTCCGATATTATTATCGGAACGCGTCAACACACGACCAGTCAGGGCGGAGCGATTCAAAGTGCCAGGCGTACTCTTTCGGCTCGAGTACTTCCCGAACTCCGTGCCGTAGGGTGCTTCGAACCACGAACGTGTCGGCCCTCTAGTTTCTCCCCAACAGACTTTCTTCGCCCCCCAGCTCCTCAAGACAACGGGACAGCTGCGACCAATAATTGATAGCAATGTAGTTCAAGGCTGGTGACTCCGCCAGCGCTTGGACCTCAGGCGTGTTCAGCCACTCTCTCCACCGGGTAGGCCCTTGTTTTTCGGCATCCTCGTAATGAACTTCGGAGGCATTTCCGTGTTGGCTTTCAGGGCCAGCACCGAGATTCGAACCGCCATCTGCGCGGTCATCCGTGCGACGCCTTTTGGCCGCGCTTTCTTCGTCACCAGACATGCTTTCGGTTCTCAATTCGCTTCCCAGGTCAGAAGTCTCTTTGTACCGACTTGTTACTATGTCGAACTCGGGGGGTCCGCGGTGCTCTGAGAAGGTGTGGGGGTCACGGATCGGTAAGCGGGAGAACGCTTCTGTAGTCGCCTTCGGCTGCGGAGGCACGGACCCCGAAATTGAGTCCCGCGTACGCGACTCTCTAACAGCGTCAGGCGAGTCCACTGCGACTCGATCCGTCCCGCCTTCACACCCGTCGGTTGCGGGGGGATCTGCATGTTCTCCTGGATCCATCAAGTCCTTAAGACATTTGTCGTTGTTTGGCTGCTGCATTTCGCCGAAGGAACTCACGGAAACGGTCGGCTGGTTCGCAAGCCGTCGCTTCCAGAGTTCCAACCGCGTTTCGTCGCCGGAGTCAAAGCGCCTCGCGTACTCGCCGAACTTGAGATATCCATGACGTAGACAGTCGAGCTTTTTGCAGCGGAGGCCGGCCTCAAGATGCGCATTCGCAACCGCGACCGGATCATGGCCCTTCGAAGGCATAGTGCCTCTGGTTGTGCGTGGCGCGAATTTGAGAACGTGAGCGCAAAACACCGCCAGGTCAGTCAGTGAACCTTCAGCATGTTGCAGCAAACACCCCGTCAGCCAATTCCGCAGCCGCACCGACTTCAACCCGCATCCCAACTTCTGGGCCACCGAACTGCGCACCTGCGGGTCCACCGTGCCGTACGGTTCTTCTAAACATTCTGAAATCGCCGCGCCTGCTTCCACGTACGCCAGGTTACACTTATCGAAGGCAGCCGGTGTTACTCGTCGCAGACTCATCCACCCCGTCTCCGACAACGTACTCCGCAGCTTGCAGTATGCATCGTAGTCAAACCTCGCTCCACGACTCGGTGCGTTTTTTTCTTGCAGCTCCGCACCCGGGGCCGTTTCCACGCGTGCGTTCAAATCCGAGCCCGCGCCGGGGTTCGCGTTCCAGCGGAACAACTCGTCGCCGAAGGTGGTCAGCCTCGGCAGCGTCGGAGTGTAGAGAGTGTATAATTTTCTTTCACAACGAATCCAAGTCCACAGTGCGGGGTCGAACCACAACTTCGTGCCAGAACTCACGACTTGACTTGTGAAAGAGCGCCACTGCCTCCGACGCTTCCACGACTCCAACGGCATCTGTCCCGTTATCGCTTCAAATTCGTCGACCTTCAGCGGCCGCCAAAAACTTCCAAACCAATCCATCTCACTTATACCACCTACAGCACCGGCGCCTGCTAGGACCAGTCCCAAGCAACGTTGCCGTATTCCTTTCCTACCACTCAACACAGGCAACATTCTAAGTTTTCTTCTTGGAAAATTCGGCCGCATCGGACCAGGTGCTGCCCCCCACTGAGCTCTTTATGATCGGAGTTGTCACTTTTCACTACACCCGGCATGCGCATATTGGGTGGGGGGGTCATTGGTCAAGAGTAGGACGCAGTTGTTTGTTTTCCAGGACCGCAAAACAGTGGAGCAGTTGCGGCCAGTAATTGTCGCAAGCGTACTGTACAGCAGGTGACTCCGCCAGCTCTTGGACTTCCGGCGCGTCCAGCCACTCACTCCAGTGCGTTTGCTGCCACGGCTCCCCGGCGCCCTCGTGTTGACTTTGAGGGTGTTGACCTTGAAGGTGTTGACCTTGAAGGTGTTGACCTTGAAGGTGTTGACCTTGAAGGTGTTGACCTTGAAGGTGTTGACCTTGAAGGTGTTGACCTTGAGGGACATGGACGGGTGGGTTTTCAAGGACAGGTCCGAGATTCGAACCGCCGTCCGTGTGATGCCTTTTGGCTGCGCTTTCTTCGGCTCCATGCCCACGTTTAAAAGCGGGCAATCGGTGTAACGTATGGAATTCGCGGGATTCATCGGCTGAGATGATCGGTGAGCGGGACAGCGATTCTGCAGTGGCCTTCAACTGCGCAGGCAGGGACTCCAAAGATATGTCATCCAACAGGGTCATCCCGAAGTGTGTGTGGCAGAACTCGACGAGCTTGTCGAAGGGCATCGCGGTGTACTGCAAAAGCAACCACTGACCCAATTCACAAAGTGCTTACTTCGGTAGTCGCACCTCATTTGTTTCGTGAGCGAGGTCACGCCGTGACCGTCGAGGATTCCGAAAGGGGCGACGAAGCACTGGTGGAACTCTGCAGCCAGCC